ATATGGAGGAAACTTTTTTTCTGTTGTTGTTTTAGAAAGAACTACTTTATAATAAACTATGAAAGTCACAGTTCTGTTTAGGTTACAGATATTTTTGCATATGTGTGCTTTCAACTTCTAATGTGTAAATAAGGCTTTTGTGGATTAGCGAGGATGTTTAAAGTGCACATCATAATAACTAGGAAGCTGGACTGTTTTTATCAGACTAGTGCAAACCTGTGGGAAGAGAGGGCTCTTCCTGAATGTGGAATAGGCTGTATTTCCTGTAATTGTTTGCACCATCAAATGTGACCCGATTTTTTTTTTTTTTTTTTTTTTTTGCGCTTCAGCTTCTCGGTTACTAACTTTTATGATTCTAACCTAGATTGTTTTTTCTGACAACTTGCATATTTTAAGGGTCCCCTTTGTGGAAAATGAATAAAGTTGTATCTTTTTTCTTGCACTTTTTTTTTTTTTTTTAATAAATTGGACATTTCAAACTCTGCAATTGCACTCTGACCTATTGAAATTAACAGGGTACTTCGGTTTTATTCTTTCAGCAGATTGTGAACAAATATGGCTAAACTATTAACTGAGATCTGAGCAGTGTAATTTTTATATTTGCTTTTTGTTTTCTTGAGCCTGTAAGTGGTCAGAATGTTGCACCTGATTGGAATGTACACAGGTCAAACCTGTGGTCTGAACTTTTTTTAGAAAGGTATTGATGCAGACTTTATCAGGAATTCATTTTTCCTCTGTAAACTGCACCTCAAAAACTTCTGTCTTCCTGTCAAGCTTGGGTTGAAGGTGACTTAAAAGTGTGTCTACCTTTAAATGTAAATTAAGCAGTGCATCTAGCTTTTGGAGATAAATCTAATTTTGTGCCAAATAGGCTGTCTCTTTCTGACTAGTAGTTGTAACAAAGCTAGCTGTAAAAACATCTAGGTAGGGATTAAGGAGGATAAATTTTTCTTGGATGTTGCACGCTCTGTTTACTGTGCTCACTGAGAAAAGTGCATGTGAACTTGCAGAGCCCAGTGCCCAAAACTGCAGTTTTCCTGTCAGTCTCATTGTCTTAACCGAAATGTCTGCATGAGTTAGGACTGAAGAACTGTGTTCTGGTGGTGTAAATAACTTCTCAGGGAGAACTTATGTGGTTACTTTTGTGCATGACCTTATTGTTTGTGATTATGTAAATGTAGCCTGTGCTTAGCTAGGGTTTTGCTGACTTGTCAGATTTGATGAAGGGGCATGGGCCACATTAGCATGTCTGTTTTTCAGTTGTATCGGATCTTGCAATAAACCCCCGTTATTTCATTACAAAACATGCCTCTTAATGCAAAGTCTTTAGGATAAAGGCCTTATGATAGGTGTTTGCCTAGAGAGTCTCAGACTAATTTTTAACTTTGAGTTGTAACGTTAAAATTGTACAAAACAGCATGCAGCAAGAGCATTGAGTATTGTTTGTGTGCTGTTTATTAATAGTGCTCTTTTGAATCTGGTTCTTTAATCATCTCTAAATCTTAAGGTAGTGCTCTGAGGTGTTTTTCTGATTTATGATTGTCTCGTAATAACGGGGTTGTAAAGCTTCTAGAACTTGCGTGTTTAAAAACTTCATAAGAGTTGTTCTGATGTGTGGTTTGTTTTTTGTTTTTTTTTTTGTAATTCCTTGGCAGCCTCTTATAACATCAAAACAGAAGCTCCATTACATTTAAGAAAAAGTTTATTTTTCTTTTTAGCTTAGGGAAAAATATTTAAAACTTCCTC